TGGGCCAACTGGTGGCTCACGTGTTGTGCATGATGATGCTGAAGGTTGTGGTGATACCTACAGTTCCCCAGAAGAAACACCTACTGATTTGTCTATAGTAGTTGACTGGACTACTCTAACAATAATAGGGTAGCCTGATGATGATGGTTTAGCAAAAGAGGTTGCTGATGAGGACAAGGTTTATGAGGCCATGGGGTTCATGGAGTTAGAGACAACAGCAGAAGGATCTAGAGAAGAGGTGCCCATTCCAACTATGTCAGCAGAGATGTAGGCAGATATGAATGAAGCAGCTGTTAATGTTGATGATACAGTTGATGTAGAACCAATGCATGAATGGGACAGGGACAATCCTGATATGAGTGTTGGCACATGCTATCCCAAATGATGGTTGAGTTTAGGCTAGTCATTAGGCAAAGATGCTATAATTAAGGAGTTTGAGTATGAGACTGAGCATTCAGACAAAGAAAGGTTCAGGGCTAATTGTGCTACTCTAGGCTGCCCATGGATTCTTAGAGCTAGAACCCAGCATGATGGCAGTGTCAGGGTACAATTTTTTTTATTGAATACAATCTTTTTCTGTGTTTGTTGAATGTTGCTTTTTTGTTGTCCTCATATGTCCTTTTGTTTTTATTATGCAGATTCAAATCAATCAGGGGGTCCATAACTGTGCATCTACACAAAGGGTTGTCAGCAGGATGGCATCTATAGCTTGGGTGGCTGAGAGAGCAATCCCCTACCTCAAGAGGAACCCACAAATGGGGGCTAAAGAACTCAAAGAAGAGCTGCATTACAAGTACAAGATTGACATCCCCTACCAGACAGTGTACAATGGGAGGCAGAGAGCATCAGATAAGTTATTTGGTAAATGGAATGATTCTTTTGATTATTTATTTAGGTTTAAGGCTGAGATAGAGCTGAGATCACCTAGAAGTGTTGTAGAGATAGCCACTGTCACTGATCCTAAGGATGGGAAAATTAGGTTTAGCAGATTCTTCTATGCATTTAGGGCTAGTATAGATGGATTCTTGAATGGCTGCAGGCCTTACATAAGTGTAGATTCTACTGCACTTAATGGGATGTGGAATGGCCACATGCCTGTAGCCTGCAGCCTTAGCTTTAGATGGCCACAATTGGATGTTTCCTCTGGCCTTTGGATTGTTTGACTCAGAGACAAAGGAAAACTAGGTCTGGTTTATGGAGCAACTTAGGAAGGCCATTGGACCCATGGATAAGCTAGCTATCTGCACTGATGCATGTAAGGGGTTGGAGTCAGCTGTTAGACTAGTATTTCCACAAGCAGAGATGAGAGAATGTTTCAGGCACTTAATGGAGAACATGAAGAAATACTACACTGGTGATGTATATGGCAAAAACATGTGGCCTACAGCTAGAGCTTACTCACCACACAAATTCAAGTACTTTTTTTGATAGTCTTCCAAGCTAGTCCAGATGGGCAGAAATGGCTGACAGAGCATCATCCTTTTCTGTGGGCTAGAAGTAAATTCTCAGAACACATCAAGTGTGACTATATCAATAACAATTTAGCAGAATCATGGAATTCTTGGATCAAAGAGCACAAAGACCTTCCTGTGCATTGCATGGCAGATGCAATCAGAGAGAAGATAATGGTCTTGTTTGCCAAAAGGAGGAAGATTTCAAGGGCCCTCCATCTAGGTATATTGCCTGGGATCATCCATCAACTAAATGCAGCATCCAAGGGACTTGGACACCTGACCATTTCTAAGGGGCACCCAAATCAGGCCGAGGTTACAGAGATCTACAAGGATGAAGAAGTGAGAAGGCATGTTGTGTACCTAGTTGACAAAGTTTGCACATGTAGACAGTGGCAGATAACTGGTCAACCATGTCCCCATGCCTTGGCTGTGATTACCAGCATCAGGCAACCAGACATGGCCAAATTTGTGGATCAGTATTATTCAGTTCAGAAGTTTCAAGCAACATATGAGGGTATCATTCCTAATATCACTGATAGGAACCAGTGGCCTGAGGTAGACAAAGGATTCAAACTGCACCCTCCATGCCAGAAGAAGAGAGAAGTAGGAAGACTGAGGAAAAATAGGATCAAGTCTGCAAAGGAGACAGGTGGTAAGGCAACAAGGCAAGTGAGGTGTCCTAACTGCAGTGAGTATGGTCATAGGGGTGGTAGCTGGAAATATCCACTCACTGGCACCAAGAAAAGGTACCTTCTCAATTCTTCTTTATTTGTTACATTACAATATGAAACTGATCCTATCATTATTGCAGGAAGAGAGCAAAGAAGACCACAGTCAAGGTTGGGAGGAAAAAAGCCAAAAAAGGTACCACTACTGAGAAAGCACCAACTCCAAGGACCAGAGCAGCTGTTGCAAGGGAGGCAACAACAAAGGCTAAGAGGGAGGCTCTAGAACTAGAGCTAAAGGCAGCAGCAGTAAGGGAACCAGCCCAATCAGCAGCAAGGGAAGAAGCAGAAGCACCCCAAGCAGCAACAGCAAGGGAAGCAGCCCAAGCAGCAGCAAGGAAAGAAGCACAAGCAGCCCAAGCAAGGGATGAATTTTCAGCAACTCAAGCACATGAACAAGTGATGGAGGTGATGCCTTTAGAAGTTGAGCTCCCAAAGACAGCTATTCAGACCACAACAGCTAGGAGGTACTACTTTTCTTCCTATGACAGCATGATAATTGATAATGGATTACCTGTGTAATAAATCAATTATTAATCATACTTTATTTTCCACAGGTCCTTATTTGCTGAAGATGCATTGGAGGTTGAAGTGTAGCCAGCTAGAAAGATGACTCCTAGGAAAAAGCATTTGGCAACTAAGGTGAAGAAGACATCGCACAAGACAAGAGCAGGAAAGAGAAAGACAGGAGCCTGACTGGTCTTGTTTTGCCAAGATCATGAACTTTCATTATTTTGCAAAAACAATATTATGTAATGATGGGAACAAAAACAGCATGTAATGCCCCAAGATGAACTTGTTATGTGTATTGGGCACTAAACTCTATCTGTATGCCCAGAATTTGCTACCTGTATAAACTCTATGTATAATGCCCAGAGTTTGCTATCTTTATGCCCATATCTGATAAAACACGATACTTGATTTGGTTATCATTGGTTGTGGTCCTGCTGGTCTTTCTCTAGCTTCATAGTGTCTGCTTCGTAATAAGATCCTCCTCTTGTATTTGGTGGTGGAGGGCTGTGCTCTACCCTATCATTGGTTGCACAATGCTCACACACACACACAAACGCTGCCTACCTACAGTAGTAGCAGAAATGCTGTATTTGTTTGGTTCACACTCACAGGCCTTATTTGCTTCCATGGCGAGAGTACTTGCTTACTGCTACTAGATTTGCAACAGTTCCCTCAAAAAAAAGCTTTGCAACAATGATAACGTGCACTACAGCCCTTCAATGCTAGTCATAGTGAATTCAAGAATAGGACATGTTTTGAGTGTCATGCCTAGTTGCCTACAACACAGTTCAAAGTTATCTAGACAACACAGTTCAAAGTTTCATTGCAAATGGATGTCAGTGCGACATTACTTCTAGACTTCCAGTTCTCAAATGAATCAAACAGCACAAGGTTATCTGGACAACACAGTTCAAAGTTTCATTGCAAATGGTTCATACATCATGTTCAATTCATTTTCAAACACATTGCTACAAATCAAGTCATTACAACTGATCTGACAACAATTCCAAACAAAACAATTGCAACAACAACAATGAAACAGTTCATTTTCCACATCAGGTTCTCCATCTTCTTCTCAAGGTCCTTCTCCTCATGGTTAGCATATTCACTGCCCTCTGATCCTTCTTCCAGTTCCTCGACCTCCTTACAGTTGATAATGACGATCTTTTTATCAATAAGCTCATCTAGATACTCCTTCTGGAATCTGTAGAATCCACAAAATTTTGAATTCTGTAAACACCATTTCATGACTGTTAAACTCTAGATTTCAAACAAAGAAAGCAAGAGAGATGGAAACACAGCAAAACTGACCCCATTCCTGGGGCACTTGAAAAAGCTCTAGCCCTTGTTGAGAGTGTCCTGCTTGATGCGAAGCTCGATCACACGGGCCAGATGACAATCCGGACATTGAATCAAAGGATGCCCAGTTTCTTTATCGACCGGATACGCCACAGCATGCGCGCGCACGGAGCTCCCACCTCGTTCCTGCCTCCTCAACGCCCTACTGGCGCTGGACGACTCCACCCTCTACGACCGGCAATCACTGCTGCTAGCCATTGTGACACGGGTTGACACCACCTCTCCCACTACATCACAAGCCTATGAAACAATCAACCGAGGAAGATAAAGTCAGCGTCCACGAACCCTAACCCTAAACCCTAATGGACACGAGACCTGGGTGCAAAGGGGGAGTAAGGCCACATACCTTCAATGCGCTCACCAGGGGTCCCGCTCACCAGATGCGGTCATCGTGGCGTAGGGACGGCGGGAGGGGAGCAGGAGGCGGCGGCGGCGCGGGGGAAGAACGTGTCGGCGGCGGCGGGTGGGATGGGGACGAAATGAGCGAGGGACGAAATGAGCGGGAGGGATGCGGCGTAATGAACAAAATGGGCAGGGGCAGGGATGACATTTTACCTTCGCCTGCTGACTGGGCGCCAGCGTGTTGGAGGGCCATGGCTTGCCACATGCGCAAATGTGGTAAAACAGAAACTCAATCTTCTTTCATCGGGTAAAAATGTAAGTGCCATTCTAAGAATGATAATCGGATGAGTGCCAATCTTTATAATGGTAAAAATGTAAAACCCCGAAAAAAGACAAAGCACGGAGACACCAAAACCATTGGTAAATTTGCATGATAACCCAGAACTGGAGTGGCTGAAACGCAAAACTCCCACACGCTATCGAAGGAGCACCAGAGACCGCCAGTTGAAACGGAGCAGAATCACCACCGCACCTTCTGCTCCTGCCTCGCCGGCCGCCGCCGCGTCCCTACTCCCTAGCCCCCAGGAGCTCCGCCGCAAATTTTGCCATGAGCTCAGCCGCTTCCGCGGCGCCGCCTGGCCGCCGCACTAGGAGCCGCCCGCCATCAGCTTCTTCTCGTAAGTCTGATGACCCCTCGGCCACCGCCGCCGCCGCCGCCAACGGGAATGGGAACGGGAAGGACGCATCCAAGCCCGCCTCCCCCCACCAGCTCACGTAAGCGCGCGGCAAGCTTTGGACAATCTTCTCCTTCCATTTCGTCACCTCGGTTCGAGCCGGGACCGCCAAAGGTTGGATTTTTTTAAATTGGTTTGGGCTTGCTTGCCCAGGGGGGAGAGGACAGTGAAGAAGTTGCGGCTGTCTAAGGCACTGACGATACCGGAGGGGACGACGGTGTCGGATGCGTGCCGGCGGATGGCGGCGAGGCGGGTCGACGCCGTGCTGCTCACCGACGCCCATGGCCTCCTCTCCGGCATAGTCACCGACAAGGTGACTTCCTCTTTTTCGTAATTTTCTGGTTCAGTTTGATGGTTACATGTGTTCCAGTGTGCTTTTATGGCGATTGAGAGCTGAGGAAATGGGTGGGATTTTTTGAATTTGATGTAACAGGAGTCCAAGATGCTACATAGTACATATCTTCCTGGGGAAAATCTGTGTTTGGATTACATTCTTGGTTTGGAGCTTAGCAATTGTCAGTTTCTTTCAAAGCAAGAATTCCATTTTATTTGGAGATTTTGATCAGCCTTTTCTTTTACCAAACTTGGACGACTCATTGGAATTTTCTTTTACCAATGCATATTTTTCCCTTTGCGTAAATGGAAGAGGGACAGAAGGGTGCTGTTGTACTTGTTTAGTAGTTGGTTTATGCCTAAAACCTATCGAAGCAGTCCAGGTTATATGATGATGGTTTGCACTGCACTTTTGTTAGGCATCTAGAAGACTAGAACATTATCTTTATGTTCTATAATTTCTACTCAGTAATTTGAAGTAAATAACCTTGTAAGTTGTAATTTGCTTTTTAACCAAGCAGACGATGGCCTATTTTTGCTGCTTTCAATATGACTTGTTCATTTTTGTTTGTATTTCAAATTGGGGTGCAGGATATAGCTACAAGGGTGATTGCTGAGGGGCTTAGGGTGGAGCAAACCATAATTTCCAAGATCATGACACGGAATCCTATTTATGTGATGTCTGACACGCCTGCCATTGAGGCTTTGCAGAAGATGGTTCAAGGTATGTCTAGTGATTCTGGCTTTTCCTTTGATAGAGTTTATTAAGTAAATGTTTGTACGGACAATATGGGAACAAAGTAGGGAAAGCCAGCTTGTGATTTTCACTAAACTGTGCCATGGGCTGTTCTCTGATATATGTACTGTACTGCACTAACCATCCGTGTAGATTTTTCGTAACAGTATAGGCTACTTCCTGAAGTTCTTGTGTAACTCATATATTTTGCTGTAACACTATGCTTTTTTTCCTGTCTTAAACGTAATCTTGTGTTGGAAAAGAAAAAAAAAATTGTATTGTATCATGTGATGTATACAATTTTGGGGAGCTGTATTGTATCACAGTCCTCAATATCTCAGTAGCAAATGAATATTTCTTCATTGGTGTGGTTAAATTTCTAGGATTTGTTTGTCACGTTGCTGAGTTTCTGTCATGATTTCAATGATAATATATGTGTATATACTGTGTAAGCTGGTTGTTTTCACGTCCTTGCACAGAAACCCTTAGTCAACACTTAGTTTGATATGTGCTTCCTTCTTCACTAACATCAGCTTTTCCAATTTGTTCTCTCATATTTTAGGGAAATTTAGACACCTTCCTGTTGTAGAGAATGGTGAGGTTATTGCTATGCTGGACATTGCAAAATGCCTTTATGACGCAATATCAAGACTGGAAAAGGCTGCAGAACAAGGAAGTGCAATAGCAGCTGCTGTTGAAGGTGTCGAACGTCAATTAGGAGGCAACTTTTCAGGTTTCTGCATTACATATAATATCTCAAAATTCTCAATTCAAAAACCATTTGGGTCATATGAGTAAATTGATTTAATCTATAAGGTATATTTTATGAAATAGTAATCATGCTAACGCCTTATCATTCTAATCCAAGTGAACTTCATATCATACCAATTCGCTAGGTATATCATATTCTGCTCTACTATTAAATGTTTATATTTGTGAGATTAGACACAAGATAGTAGATTGATTATCAGGATATGAGGTTACACATATATAGGCAAGGATGACCTAGGTTTATAGAAACAGAACCAGCAGGGATCCTTGCCTAATAGATATCAATCAATCTATAGGCACTAGGCCCAATAGGATGTACAGGCCATTAGGGCTGTGGCACCCTCTGTCTAACAATATTATATATCTTGATTGTTGTAATTACATTTTAAAAACCATTTTTTACGTTGTATCATGTTACAAATCATTTAAAGTTAGTAATTTTCTGTGGTTACAGTTCCTTCTGCTCTCATTGAAACTCTAAGGGAGAGGATGTTCAAACCTTCTTTGTCAACCATTGTTACAGAGAATACAAAGTATATCATTGATTTTCTCTGACTATTTTCTTTCAATAATTAGCAATAGAAAGGACATTGAGCTTACTATGCTATCTTGCAGAGTAGCAATTGTTTCGCCTACAGATCCTGTGTGTGTAGCAGCACAAAAAATGCGAGAGTTTCGGGTTAATTCAGTGGTTGTCGCTACAGGAAACACATTGCAGGGGATCTTTACGTAAGCATTCTATATTAGTAAAACAATATTGTCCATGATTCCCTTGCTAACTGTTGATGTTGTATGATTATGTTACGCAGCTCAAAAGATATACTTATGCGTGTTGTGTCACAAAATATTTCCCCTGAGTTGACTCTAGTAGAAAAGGTATTCCAATATTCCATTATATTTACAATTTTCTTTTTCTCATTGTCTAAGTTGTCCAGTAGCTTTTACACTACCTGTGCTCATTACTTCATTATAACATTTTCAGGTGATGACTGCCAACCCAGATTGTGCCACGTTAGAAACAACAATTCTCGATGCATTACATATAATGCATGATGGCAAATTCTTGCATATTCCTGTTATTGACAAAGGTTCCACCTGATTTCTGTCTCAATCTTTGAATATCATACTGCTACTTTATATGCTACATGTTTAAAGTCTTCATTATTGTGAACAGATGGACAGATTGCTGCTTGCCTGGATGTTCTGCAACTTACCCATGCAACTATTCAATTGGTAATCCCTAACTCCATACTCCTTCAGCTCTCTTCTGGTTCATATCTGAATTTGTCTATCTAATTCTCTACTTGTAGGTTGAAGGAGGGAATGGAACTGTGAATGATGTCGCAAACTCAGTAATGCAGAGGTTCTGGGACTCTGCTCTTGCATTGGAGCCTCCAGATGAGGAATTCGATAGCCGTAGGTTTGTTGATGGGTCTTTTGAGGATTATTTTTCTTCTTCTGTTTTCATGAGGCTATAATACAACTCTCCTTGTATTGTTCAGCGAGGTATCCTTACTCCTGCAGTCAGAGGCTGGAGATGGAAAGAGTAGTGTTTATCCCCCTGTGATTGGCAATTCATTTTCCTTTAAGCTTCAAGATCGAAAAGGCCGTGTGCACAGATTCACTTGTGGTATTTACTTGTTCCATAGTTCACCTGCAGATGTAAGATATGGTTGCATCATCAAATATAACTGAATGTTAATTTTTCAATTCACTACTGCAGGCTCAGAGAGCTTGGACGAGCTTGTGTCTTCTGTAAGACAAAGATTAAGTATTGCTGATGAAAAAGAAGCAGTGCAACTCTTGGTAAGATCGACTGATCAAGTACTTCAGCATCAGAATGGTCCTATGGTTTAGTTGGCATATAAGCATGTAACTTCCAAAGATTACGAAGGTCCAATAGGATAGAGATTAGGTGCCCAATGCCCCAATATCTGATAGCAAAAGCCAAAATTTCCCTTACTCTGTTGATGAAAAAATAACTGTGTTCATTATACTTCAAGAGTGTGAACTCATCCATGTGACCATGTCTTTGCATCACCATGGGTGATGGTATAAATGGTTTCATTCATCATTCCACCAACTAAAAGATGGTTTGTATTTGCCTGCACTAGCCAACTTGATCTTGTTCTATGTAGTATGAAGATGATGAAGGTGACCGAGTGCTGCTGACAACAGACGCCGATCTTGCTGGTGCAGTGCTGCATGCCAAATCATCTGGGTTGAAGGTAGCTCTTTTTCTCGCCTTCTGTGATTATCTATTCCAAGTGCAGGTTGCAGGGCTACAAATTACTTGCTCAATCCACCTGACTATAACAAATGTTCACCTTCAGGTGTTGAAGTTGCACATCGAAGATCCCAGTTTGAATACCGAAGTGACAAAACCGTCACAGGAGCTGGCACCACCTCCCCGCAGTAGTGGGATATCGCTGGTTCATGTTGGGTTAATGGCCAGCGTAGTGGCTCTCAGTGGCGCAGCAGTGATGGTTTACTTGAAACGATCTCAGCTGTGATCTCCAAAACCGGAGGATGGCTTTCTTTTCTTTTTTGAGGAGCGGGATTGGTGGCATCTGAAACAAGCATTGCCATCAGCTAATGCATTCTGAAGCTTTGCCTTCACTAGGTGCCATTTACAAGCTAAGAACTGAAGGAAAGTACAGAAGTGAAGTTCACATTCGTTGTTTTCGGAGTAGGTAAATTTCTGGGCAGAACGTCCTGCCTATGTTTGTTCAGCCTACACGAACGTGGACAATTTCACGAAATCACGACTAAGGTGTAATGTGTAAACACATATATGTTCCCTGTTCGTACTTGTGTACTTGTTTGTAGATAAACAGATTAAGTAAACTCATTTCAGGTGACACTATTGTTTCAGAGGGTAATAGTAATACTGATTCGTCTATCAGGCGTTCATGTCAAGTTTGGTAAAACTGCATTCTGTAACTCCATGTGACAACTACCAGTAGATAATAACTTGAGCACACAGCATTACCCAAACCGGCAAAAACCCCACCTACATCAGCTGAGCTGCAGGCTCCTGAAAAGCCTGTTTAACTACAAGGCATGGTTTACATGAAACGATCTAGATTGACATTGGGAGAGAGAGATGACTTGTGTGCTGAGCATTGGGAGAGACGGATGACTTGTGTGCCAAGGGCAGTAATGACTTTTCGCGTGGAAGAGATTCCAAAAAATGTTAACAAAGGAGCTAAATAGGGATATGGCAACAAATCAATGTAGACATGTTTAGGCTGGCAATTTTGTGAAATCAATCTTTCGGATGACAATTTTGCGAAGCCCATTATTTGCAACGGCAAAAAGCCAATTTTCTCGTGTTCAGCAACATCGCCAACAGGTAACACTGGTTATCTGAAGAAATTTGTCCTCCACTCATTGAACGCCAACAAAGAAAAGGAGATGGAAGGACACATGTCAACTGAAGCTCTAGAGAGGACCAGATCTGATACCAGTTGACTGAATTTCATACACAGGTCATGCTGCGCATCGATAGGCCATCACTTTTGCAGATAATGATAAATAAAAAGTAAATTTACGAAAACCATTGAACTGACAAGTGACAAGATTCAGAATGTTTTAATGCCCCTTTATTTTATCACATAATATAAAGATCATAAAGAAAACTAACAGATAACTGATTCGATTGATGTACCATTTTTTTTAGAACTACACTAGACCAGAAGAAGAGGACTGGAGGGGTTAGGAGAAGCAAAGAAGGAAAAGCGGGGGGTGGGTGCTCTCATCCGTTCTTCCGCGAGCGGCGAGAGTCTTAGACCAATTCAGAAAAAGCATTGGCGGCCGGCCAAAGGCGGCGCCACGGAGCTCCGTTTGTCGGGCCCCATGGGCGTGGTGGAGTCGTCGTCAAGCGCGCGAGATGAGTAGTGGCTGTCCCGGCCTTGCCACCCTCCCGGGACGGAGGAGGGCGGCGCCGTGTCCTCCCTGGGCTGCCCTCGCCGGTGGACGTGGACGGCGGCGGCGACTTCGTCTCCGTTGTCCTGCTCGTCGAGGCGCAGACCGCTCCTCGATCGAGCTATGTGGTGAGCTCCATGCTCGCTCGCCTTCCCTGCGGCGGCATGGGCTGCCTTTGCGTCGTGCCCCTGCTGCTGGATTTATAGCCTGGGGATGGGAGGTGGAGACGATCGCGGCGCGATGCATGCAGTGTTGAGGGGCTCCGAAAGACTGAGCACCTGCGGCGCGATCGGGCGGGCGCGTATGGTGCTTCGACTGAGCAGCGAGTACCATACGCGCGCGTCTTGTCCGGGTTCCATGCGTCCCGTTGAGCAACTTGGGAGTGCATGCCGTTCATGGAGGATCATTTTCTTCCACTATCGGACACAAGGCCTTTTTACAAGGTAAATCTAATAAGCTGAGAGGTTGAATGGTTTAAAATAAGCTATAAGCTGGACTGTTTGGATTAGCTATAGTTCTTTTTAGGATTTAGCAACATTTCTAAGACCGTGGGGGCATAATATATATGTGAGATTTTAATTAGGTTTGATCTAATTTTATATTCAATTAAAATCAAATAATTTTATATCCAATTGGAGTTACGGTTCTTTACCGACATCAGTTTTTAGTGAATATACCAAGTGTTCGAATAGAAATTCTCAAAAAAGTGCTCGAATAGAAAATAAAAGAGTTAAATGCAACAGCGGTCCTCGAACTTATAAGCGTGTGCCACATAGGTCCATAAACTTTAAAAATGTATTTCTGGATTTCTAAACTCGTTAGTGGTGTATCATAAGTCCATATCAACCATGTGGATCTGTTTTTGCTGACATGGCATGCTAACGTGACACAGATTTTTCACTTAACATCTTATATTTATTTTTCTCTTAAAAAATAAATCCTCCCTAGTCCCTAGACCCGTGTGGCTGGGGCAGCTAGTGGGCGCGCGCGGTGGTGGCGCACGGCACCGAGTGCGTGGAGCAGCACCTCCATGGCATCCTCTCGTGCGTCACCATCGCGATCAAGGCCACCGTGGAGGTCGCCGGTTCCGACGCCGACGAGATCGCGTGGAGATAGCCGGTTCCGACTCCGATGAGATCGCGCGGAAGAGGCTGTTAATGCTTGCCAACAAGTACAATAGGAGCATGCTCGAGGCCAGGCTCCTGTTCCAGCACGCCTACGACAAGCTATATTTAGTGTCCCAGGAACTCACTACGCGGACGGACACAGTGTGGAAAGAGGACAGGTGGTTGCTGTCGCAGCTGCTCGACGAGATGAAGTTGCCGGGCGGTGCCAAAGCCATTGACGAAGGGCGAGCGCGGCTCGCCGACGTCCTGACCCCGCCGCTGGGAAAGCTGCACCTGGTATCTATCCTGTTAACCGGTGACTACAGCATGCGGATTGCGGAGGCGCCTCGGCGGCCACGTGAAGGAGGAGCATTGGATGGAGGAGAGCTTCACAGTGAAGCATTTCATCGGGGACGCCGAGGACGAGGTCTTGATGCTCTCGTCAGTGGCGCACACTGCGTACTGCTTGATTTTTCTTCCACAATGAGGAGAGCTACGTCGAGGAGATGAGCTCCCCGCGGCGAGCTCAACCCGTCCAACGTGCTAGTGAAGCTGCGGTACTCCGATGGGTACGTGCACGTCAAGGTCGCCGGGTTTGAGCGGCCGGGCATGCATCATCACAAACGGCGCAAAGGCATCTGCTAATGGCAACGCAGCCGGTGGCGACGACGGCAACTGCATCTGGTACGCGTGTTCTCAAGGAGAGCCGCGACACGCACATGGAGAAGGTGGACGTGTACAGCTTCGTGATGATCTGCTTCGAGCTGCTGCCGGGGGCAAGGTCCCATTCGAGGACAACCACTTGCAGGGAGACAAGACAAGCAAGAACGTCCACGCTGGCGAGTGGCCGCTTTGTTCCTGTTCTCGACGCCCAAGTACCTGGTCGCCATGACGAAGCGGTGCTGGCACGCCGACCCAGCGCAACACCCGTCGTTCGCCACTTCGCCTCCATTTGCCGCGTCCTTCGGTACCTGAAGGCAGTTCCTCGCCAGCAGCAGGGCCAGGCCGACGCGCCGCCGCCCGCTGACTATCTCGACACATCAAGGTGCAGCTCCTGAGGGAGAAGACCGCCGCCGGCACGCACGCCAGTAAAGACAGGGCCACGGACTCCAGCAGCGAGGAGATCATGCTATGTGCCAACGAGAACAGGGTCGGGGCAAGCACACCGGACGACGACGCGTCCACCATGTCGAGCGGCACCGTGAGGTTGCGCTCCAACAGCACCGTGAGGATTTATTTTTCAAGAGAAAAATAAATATAAGGGGTTAAATAAAAAATACGTGCCACGCTAGCAATGCCATGTCAGCCAGAAATATTCACATGGTAAGCATGAACCTGCGGTGCAACACCTAGCAAGTTTAGGGACCCAAAAATAAATTTTCAAAGTTCATGGACCTACGTGACACGCTTACAAGTTTGAGGGCCGCTGGTGCATTTAACTCAAAATAAAACTTATTTTTGTTTGCGCAAGAAAATAAAGCTTAATTTGATTTTGTCTTTAGAGGAAAGTCTTAAAAATAAAAAGTACTTTCTCCGTTCCAAATTATAAGCGTTTTGTCTTTTATGAATACATTGCTATTGCTTTTACTTAGTAGCTGGACATAGTGTATATCTAAGTTGATAGGAAAAGCTATGTATTTCGAAAGAGGACTGCTCCGATACACCTCTTTTAGAAAATTGCACACATCTGAAAGCAACTCTAATTAATTAATCATTACCTTAATTATTTTTTCATTTAGGTCTCGTCTAGGCCCAACCCTACTGAGCCCGTGCTCGGCCCATACCTAGTGAACTCCCGTTCCTTGATTTCATCCTCCTGGAGTCTTGATCCGATGCGCCCGGTGGCCGTTCATGTTCGGCTGTCGACAGCACCGGCGCTCAATGCCCAGCACGGCAGCACCACTCGGATTGCGTCATGGCTGTTGCTGATGTCCACGGCCAGCTCTTGCCATCGAGGAGTTCTGACCGCAACAGCATGCACGACAGCACGCCGGAGACCTCATGGTGGTGGTACCGTAGAGTTCCTTCGATGGAAGAGGAATGCAGGCATGCAACGCTTCCCGGCAGAATGAAGATGGCACCTTGATACGAAACACCGGCCTATCCATATATGGAGCTCTGCTGCCGTCGTTGAGCGTCGCCCGGTTGAACGCATGGCCGGATCGACATCGGAGGATGAGATCAAGGAGTCAGGATCGATCTGGACCGGACACGGGCTGGGTGTAGGTAGGGCCATAGGGGCAGGCCCAAACATTAAGAAAATTGATTAATCAATAATTATAATTGGATGGTTGCTTTAAGATGTGTGCAATTTCTTAAAAGAGGTGTACCGGAGCAATTCTCATTTAGAAAATCCAAAACGTCTTATAATTTGGAATGGATAGAGTACAAGAAAGCTTTCTGTTGGTCTACATATGCCAATGTGACTGTAAATATTTTTGTTGGAAAATCGCTTCCCACTTCAGACATGCATGCATCTCGGTCTACATTCATCTTGTTCTTATCTCTCAGTGTCCATATATCGTCCATTTGCTCGGGGATGATTACACGAATTGAAGTTGCACTTCTGCTCTCAACACTACAACCTTCTGGTGGTGAAGCAAGCATTTATTTTGGTTTCGGAATTTTTGGAAGTGATTGTGTACATCTAACCTAGCTGATGTACACTTCAGCAGTTCAGCTCTCAAACACAGCCTACAGTGTTGATGAAGCTTCCTTTTGGTTGTGGACTTTAAGGAAGTGGCTGTGGGCACAGAGCTCAGCAGATAGGTATGGTTCACCGTGTGAACACATGGCGGAGATGTGCCCATGTGTGTGTGATGAATGATTGACATAGGAGTTGAGAGGTTTGAGACTTTTCCGGTTGAATCATATTTCAAATGTGCTTGATTATGCTAATGGCTAATCGGAGGTGTCGTGTTGAGTTGTGTCGTGTGTGTTGTGCAATATGTCTCTTGGCTTGTGAATGTGTAGGTGTTAGGTGCGCCAAGATGGTCGAGGGCAATGGAGAAGGTCAAGTGTGAAGTTCGTGCGCGATTGACCGGGAGCGGTGGAGGGCGGATGAGAAGGCTCGGACTGAGAGACCAGAGAACAGACCGTGTGCAGCTCACATGTGCAGCTCACATCGAGCACATGAAGGGCAAGAGTACATTGGTGATAGAGACGGCGTCGACCAAGTCAAGGAGGAGCACGTTGGCAGAGCTTGGACACACATCTACACGGGTAATGAAGATGGCATTGATCAAGTTAAGAAGGAAGGCGAAGGCATCAAACTTGGCGGAGGTTGGATACACGTCGACACTAGCGAGTCACTCCTAGTGAGACGCACATGAGGGTTTGTCGGTCTGGTCATTAAATCGGGATGGACAGTTTGATGGTTTGAGTCTCGAAACCATCGGAGGAGGGTTTGCTAGTTTGGTTCTCAAAACTAGGCATCGACGGTTTGGTGGTTTGTGCCTCAAAACCATTGATGGTGGGTTTGACCGGTTTGGGCCTCAAAATCAGGGAGTGATGGATCGACGGACACGTGGTGGATCTCGAAGCTTGCATCGAGAGGTGAAGTAGAGTTGAGAAAGGCGTCGGTCCGTTGCATCGTTGAAGAAAAAATTTGGATAGATGTACCTATGTTAGGTGTTTGGGCTAAGTGCTTCGTGTAACACAGGTTCAATACATAAAAGTTTAACACAGGTTCAATACATACCCGGGGACTCTCAGTTTTGGGCTGGCCTCATGAAGGTCAAGGATGAGTTTCTTTCGATGGGCAGGTTTGATCTAGGTGACGGGGCCCAGGTACGTTTTTGGGAGGATTCGTGGATTACGCCACGCCCTTTAAAAACGATCTTCCTGGCATTATACAACATTGTGATAAAGAAAAGTGCATCTGTTCGGACTGTACTGTCTACGACACCGTTAAATGTAGCTTTCAAGAGATCTCTGATGGGGCCTAATCTGCAAGCATGGTACAATATGGTGCTCATGGTTGCAAATGTTTATCTAACAAATCAGAGAGATCGCTTTGTGTGGAGGTTGCATCAGAATGGGTTGTTCTCAGTAAATTCCATGTACAGAGCATTGCTAGGCGTTCAGGCTTTACCATATAACAATTTAATTTGGAAACTAAACCTACCTCTCAAAATTAAAGTCTTTATGTGGTATTTGTACAAGGGTGTAATCTTAACAAAAGATAATTTAGCCAGGCGACAGTGGCAAGGAGATACGAAGTGTTGTTTCTGTTCTTCAGAAGAGTTTATACAACATTTACTCTTTGACTGTCATTATGCTAAATTCATGTGGAGAATTGTTCAAGTTTCGTTTAACCTAAATCCTCCAAATAGTGTACACAATTTGTTTACAAGTTGGTTGGAAGGGTTAAACAGGAAAATGAAATCTAAAATTCTTGTAGGGGCAAATGCTATTTGCTGGGTGCTTTGGCTAACCCGTAATGATATCGTGTTTGACAAGGCCATAGCACTATCTTATTTGCAGGTTATCTTCAAAGCGACATATTGGATCAGGTTCTGGTCACTTCTTCAGAAAGAGGAAGATCGCCATTCAGTGAAGATGGGTTGTAGAACCATTGAGATAGCCGCGATAGAGGTGTTTGCAAGACACGGCTGGAGATTTAGAAATAGAATTGATATCTAGTTTTTTTTCCTTCTCAAAATTTTGTTGGCTTTTATGGCTCAAAACTTTGTTTTTGAGATTCCTTGGACCTTTTTACGTGTGTTTGTAATAACGAACAGCCATATGCATTAATCAATGCAGAAGCTGGGATATTAATATATTCCTTTTTCTAAAAAAAAGTGCTTCGTGTAAGCGCGGCTTAGAAAATAGCCAAGTTCCTATATATATGGGAGGTGGCTGGTTGTGAGGCCAAGCCTTTGGATGCCTTTGGGATTCGTGAGGTTGAGAGCTTTTGGGTTAGGGCTAGGAAGAGAGGGAGAGGGAGGAGTGTCTCCTTGATTGAGCTATTAGGAGTGGCTTGTAATAGCACATGGTGAAGTAATCAAGAGACCAAATTCGTATGTCACTTCTCTCCCAAATATGAATTTTCTCTTTTTTTTTTGGTTTTTGTCGTGGTCATTTTTCGGTGTTTTCGTGCTGCTGGTTTGGCTGTATCTTTGACACATTTTTAGAAGTCTTTGGGATCCTTGGAACATATCTAAACCATATCTTGAAACCTAGCTTCTGATCTCTTGGATCCAAGCCCCAAAACTTTGCTTTCCTTCTTTGGTGATTTTCTTGAACATTTTTGAGCTGAAGGTTTTGGGTTGTTCTTGATGAGCAAGATGCATAGCTTCAATGGATGTTCCATGCATCCTGTGACATTTGCACTCGAGCTATTCATGTAGAAATGAAATCCTGCATTCTTGAATGGAAACGTTGCAATGATTTATTTTTCGTGCCACTGTATGATATGTATGAACACTAACAAATTTTGGCATCAAAGTATATATACAACAAAAATATTTTTATTTAGATTTATAGAAAAAGTAGTACAAAGGTTTCAAAACATTACCAATCATGCACACATGCTAAATCTTCATTTTTGATAACCTAGATCTTGAAAAGACAGAAAGACCGAACCGAATTCTGTGGTCAGACTGAATGCCCACCCCTATCTAAGGACTCTGTAATCGATATGAAGCCTGTAAGAGTCATTCACGAATTGTTTCATAACAACTATTAACATGAAAACTGGTCCATGACAACATAAACAATCCGCAATTTCACCACATCAACCACCTTCCCCTTCATGGCTTCTTTGAACAAGTCTTCAGTGATCTCGTCGGATTTCAGGTCCTTGTTAACATTTGCACCCAGTACAATAAACATGTCATTGCACTGCACAAGTGCCTCCTCCTGTGCTAGTAATGTGACAGCCATATAACGCTTGGAGCACGGCCGCATCATTCCTTTGCTCGGCTGTGCCCTGTACTTGGTTCTGTTGATCTTTATATTAAATGCAATGAATCCATCAGTAATGTTGGTTAGCTGCAGGCAACATGATATGGCCTTCCTTGGCTCGAATAGGAAGCGCAGCTCCAGGGCCGGATCTATGGCAAGAAAGTTGAAGTCAGAGCTTCTCTGCAAGGATGAAGGGGTTAATTAATGTGATTATGTGAATGTGTGTCCTTTATTTATCATAGCGTGTTGAAGTAAGCTTAATTGTCAAAGTAAATCGCATGGGTGCCATTATTTTGACTAAATCCTAGTACATTGTTTAATGAAATCAATTCGGATGCAATCTAACATATAAGTGTTTGTATTTTGGATCTTATGAACACTTTACTTCATGAAATGTTTTTACACAAATAATAGTTATTAGGCATCCTGGCTCAAAGAACCTATGAATCTAAAACATTTGTTTTTTTTTTCCAAAGTAGGCTAACAAAAGGTGATTTGAATCACTCAAGCATCTATATTCTATCAGAATGGTTGTACCTGGGCAATTAGATCTTTTGTCTCATCAGATGGTAGTGACATTTTCATAATTTCCGTTTCTAATTGTTCCAGTTCATCGACAACATCCTTTATAGACGGCCTCGTTTTCCTGTCAGCTATCACACATCTTAAGGCGATGTCAATACATTTCTTCACTCGTAGGATTTCTATTTCCGGCGATGGATGCTCATCAGGCATTTCTTGCAGCCTTTTCTTCCACTTTTCACATACCTGATTGGCACATAAAGTTAAGGAACATCAAATAAAATGGATGCAAATGATACAGAAAATTATGGGAAAAAGAGACGATCGTTCCTCATATTTCTTTTTTCTTACATGCTCAGTGAACTGCTCGGCGTCCATTTCAGCAGAGCGGGTGCGACCCATATTTCCATCCATTACTTTAATAATTATAACTCCAAGACTGAACACGTCATACTTCTTTGAAACAGATCCATTATCTACGTATTCTGGTGGCATATAGGATATAGCCGCTGCATAGCATATATCGGGCACGCCGCCTGCTTCCGCAGCTCAGTTCCGTCCTCGCGCACGCCGCCGCCAACGCCATCGCCGTTGGCCGCCGCTGCCGCTGCCGCGTCCCCACCCTGCGGCCCTAACCGCCTTCTTTCTCGCCGAGATCCGCAGGTGCCGCCAACCTCTCCTGCCACCCGGAGCGCACCAACACCGCCGCTTCGCCGCGACCACCACGCGCACAGAAGGCCACCGTAGCGACTCCATTACTAACCTCTGCGGCGCAGCCCCAAGGCATCAGCACGGGCTCGTTCCTCCTCGCTCGGAACTCGAATCCGGCCATTCAGAGCCCAGCGGCGGAGAATCGAGCGGCGTAGCCATGCCCCCGCCCGCCCGCCCGCATTGGCAGAGACGATGGAACGACGTGTGGTGCCGTCTCGGCAGCAACGGCTTCACCGGCTCCGGCTAGAGTATAGGCCATGCGACGCACGAGCCGACCTTGTCGGGCACGGCAACAGGGCACTGACAGGTCAGACGGACGAGTGAGGATTCAGGCAATGGAGCAGTATGAGTTGGTTTTTCTTTTCTTTCACTCGTCGACTCTCTTGTCTCTTCTGGTTTCTCGAATGCTCCGATTCACAATTCTTCCGTCCGTTTCTGCTACCTAATTCTTGGAATTTTCAGTTCCAAACTTCGAGATCCAATTTCAATTCCAAGATCGAAGTTGATGTTAACGTTGCTTTTGCGCGCTCTCTATCTGTTGATATTCGGATTTCGGATGGCAGTTTCAGGACAGCTACAAGCATTTCAGTATATACCCAAACAGCTTTTTCCAGGGGTGTAAAAATCATTTGCATTCCAAGGGTTTACTTGTGCACAACAAATTACAGTTGTATTGCATTTACAAGTGCATAAATTTTCTAAACACCCAAACAGGGCCTAACAAGAATATGTATATGTTTAACAAACATCTTAATTATTAGAAGGAGGAACAGGACAACAGATTGAAACAGTTACCACCAAATGCACAAAAATTGACATGTACTTCCATGACATACACGTACGATTAACTATTTCCCATTTGGACCAAGCTTCACACATGATTTGCCTTGTGCACAAAGAATTGAAACTATCCAGAGTATTAGCACATACCTGCTGGAAACGATAGCAGAGACAGGAGTGGTTAATTTTGCTGCTCGGCGATGATGATCCCATCCAGCCTCATTTATAATCCGTCTTTTTCAGCTTATTTTTTCAGCCGGAACAATATTTTTCTCTCATAATAAATCAGCCGGAACAATGTTTCGGATTATTTTTTCAGCGAAGCGAAATGAGCCATAATAGGCTACATGGTCTAGCCAATAGCTCTGTAAATCTGACCAATGGTGAAACACGGTATGATGGGACATTTGGAAGCTAGTAGAACTCGTCACGTGGTTCAACAAAAAGGATGAGCGGTTCTTATAGCAAGTTTAATAAACTGGGCAATAAGCAAAGCCAAGTCAACAATAGATTAATATAACAACTAAGACATACAATAATCCGGTTTCTTCTCTTGATCTAAATATAATTACTACCTCTGTTCCGTTTTATAAGGCGTGGGCTACAATCACACGGTCTCTTAAATTACATTTTGACCATTTATTTACTTTATATTATACTTTTTATGCTTATAAATTTATAATTATTGAATATGACAACTACTTCTGAATCTTATCATATGAATTTTATATCATGATAGTTAAAAATTGTTCGCCAAATTATTGGTGAAAGTTTTTAGAGTTTGACTCTTAATACATACTCCTTATAAAAATGAACGGAGGTACTATTTTATTATGAGTGGGACCCGCCCACTTTCTCTCTCGCCGTCTTTATCTCCCAGAGCCACTGAAACATGCAGGCCCACAAATAGCAGGAGGCGTGCTATCCCTCCATGCTCTGACTTGTGACAAGTAGATTGTCGTTGGTATTTTGTCTCATCCATCTAGGCATTTATTGGCTAAACTTGGCTATAAGCAAAGCCAAGTCAACAATAGATTAGCCCTACGCAGCCGCTGCCACCGAGACACCGCCTGCCGCAACTCTAACCTCGCTACTGCCGCCGCCGCGCCTAGGGCCCTCCCCTTCTTCCTCTCCAGCGCGTCTGCCGAGGACAAGAAGGAGAGGGGACCTATAACGATCCGAGTTCGTTACAATATAGTCTCTTATTTTGGACCATCGGAGGAAGCAACCTACAGAGCTCCTGTGGAGATCCCTGGTGCTCTGAGCAAGATTGATCGTTGAGAATCCACCATAATCACCCCGCAAGCACCCCCAGATAGACGTGGATAGGCTCACACCCGGAGCAACGGAGAACCCTTACATGGATTAGTACTCGACCTATTGACATAATCAAAACTAGCTCAACCTCAGGGAGTACCCTAGATTATGATATCTTGGCCTTCAATACAAGCCACCTGATGACTTAGCTAATTCAGCAAAGACAGAGATTTACCAGACAACCCGCTAGATGTACTGGACCATCCGCCAGGTCACAGAACAGAAGGAATAAGTGGAAAGTGAGCCGTTTTCCATTTATAAAGACTTGGGCCTACATGTCAGCACAAGAATGAGATAAACCTTAGCTGAAGCCACATCTCCCCACTCACTCTCTCACTCATCCCTTCATTTGCAACACACTCCCTCTCTCTCTACACTCAAGAGCAAGCAAGAACCCTAGAACTAGAGAGGGAGAGAGATTGGAGGAAAGATTGGTGAAGGAAAGGAAGAAGAGGAAGAGAAGCAACTCATGGACATCCCCCACTTCTTCAACGTCATTCATGGTGAGCTCAAGAAAAGTAACTCTTATTTCTTGGATTTTTCTCCAAAAGCCTAATTTATGGTTCTTGGTGCAAGATTGGAGACATCGTGCTAGTGTTGATTCCATCATATGTAGAGTAAGTTCAGGAGACCTTCATCTAGCTAAATCACCCATTTATCTTATCGATTGTCCTTTGATTCATCCTTTTTGGAATGTTGCAAGAGGAAGCTCATGAGGAGCCAATCTCTCTTTGGATGAAGAGGCATGGATATAAAGAAATTGAATCTTCAAGTTTTTGGCCACGGAAGCTCTCAAATCTCAGAGCTAAGGATTTCATCTCGATCTCATGGTTTATCCCCTTTTTGTCATGTTTTTGGTTAAAACCCCAACCCATAGTTACATTTAGTAAACCTAGCTCAGAACATAGTATTCTTGAGCCTAGTGAGCCACCTAAAATATCCTAGGAATATCTTGCACATGCATGGATCACAGCACCAACCATCTAGGCTTGAAACCCAAGATCACCCATGAAAAGTTGTGAACACATGTTCAGTCGATGATTCAACGGAGAGTCTGTCGAGATGCAACGAGTGTCCGCCAGATTCTAGACAAATCACCCAAGAGAGCCTTGTACTCCTTCTTGAGTAAGTCAGTGGAGAGTCCACGATATCACACGGAGTGTCCACCGATTTATAAAGATAGTAACCCAAGTACCCGATAGAACCTGATTTCTAGTGGAGAGTATGTGACCTCTCACGGAGTGTCCGCTGAAATATAAACCCAGTTAACCAGTAACCCGAGATCTCCCAGTTTTCACTAGAGTGTCCGTCGCAAGGTTCAGATAGTCCGATGAAAGATGTAAACCCAAAAAGTGCCTAAGTCCTAAACCACCAGAGTGTTCTTCTTGAGCATCCGCCAGTGTTGACATTTCTTAGTGTCGCTACAAGGTTTGTAATCCCGACAACGGCGCTTGAAAATGCGTATTGATATTTCTTATGCTCAAGTAGAAAATTCCGCAAGCGCATAGAATATCGTTATAGCATTTCACCCGGGAGTATTCCAGGTATCGTTATTTATATTTTACCACAGGGAAGCAATGGTTAAAGATAGTGATAGTTAACCATCATGTATCTTCTAACTAGTATACCGACTAGACTAAAATGGGGGTAAGTGATACACACTAAAGTGGGGTGACACACAAGTATCAAATCATGGAAAGGTAAATTGGAAACATAACTAAGTAGCAGGACAATAATAAAGAGAACTAGAATCCTAAGTTACTTCTATTCAAGCACCACTCTAGCTAGTGACTATGGCTATACTGACAAACCAAGATAGTGCAAGGTAGGATGCAATAGCACTTGAGGCGTACCTGCCCCAAACTCACCCAGAGGGTTGATTGAGCACAAAGCACCACGAGCCCTATGATTTAACAACTAGACCTATCGTGGGGGAATACATAGGATGGACAGAGCTATCACCACCTGCCAACTACCCCAATCTATCCGGAGGCCTAGCCACATTGCAAGGTACCTGATTTATAAGCACCACACTTACATTATCTGATACTACTCTAGCCTCACGTTAAGACTAGAGCATCAACTAGTGACGGACAACCCATGCTACTGAGAGCCCACTTATCATAGGAATTATAAGCATAACCAAAGTATAACTAGAGAACAAGACTAGTACATAAAGTAAAAGACTTGAAATAATACTTGCCTAGAAAGTAACATACTAATAAATAAAGTACTTACAAAAGAGAGACAAAGCTATACCAGACTCCTGAAGACTGCTCCAGAGCTCCCACCAAGACTAGCTACTACTAGAAGAGCTACATCTTGAGAGAGTAGAGAGAGAGCTACATCTCTTGTGTAGGTAGGTGTGTGTTACAAGTAAGGGGTGAGGGTCCTATTTATAGCCTAAGGTGGAGTAGGGGCTACTCCATCGCCACGTCATCGATCCATGTGCTCTCCATCCTCCTCCATTGGATCAAACCATCATATAATCAAGGGTAGAGAGCATTTGAGCATGTGCTTCTTTGCATGGAGGCATGCAATGGCGGTGTGGAGAGAGTGGGGCGTCGGGCGGCATAGGGGTGGCACCGGCTGGCCCCCCTATGATAGGTGGGACCTCCCTCCTCTTCTAGAAGCTTGGCCCACATGTCATGAGTGGGTGTGGGTGCTTGGAGCTGTTTGTCCTGTTGGTTGTGCTGCCATGACACTTCAGCGATCCGTGTGATGCTCCTTTCGTGCCTTCGATGTTGAACCGACTTGAGATCAGCGGTGGAGAAGCCTTGGAGGAACTCTCCCATGGATTAGTGACGTGGCAAGGGCAGGTGGGGCACCGGGCGGTGCCACTAAGTGGCCCATGGTGGCCTACCTTGCTCCAATTGCTTCTAGTTGCTTGATTTTTGATGTTTTTGTATAGTTTTCCTGCATGAGCAAAGATCTCTAAGTACAAGGGAAAATAGGTGAATTATAAACATCAATCACTACCTATGTTGTTTTATATTGTTGTTTACTCCCATTTTTTATGCAATG